AAAAACACAATTGGCACATGTACACGGCCATCTAACTCCAGAGGAAAATACTTAAATATTCTGGAGCACATGACAGTACCTCCACTTCTAACAGAGTCGCTGCAACCTTTCACTTGTTCCACTTCTGACAGCCATTGAAACCTTCACCAGCAGAGGAAATAGGTACTACTAAAGTCAGTATGGAGTGTGCTATCCTCTGAGAGACCACTGTTCTAGAATACATCTGGAAGCAAGATTATGTAGTTTCAGGTTGCTCTTTTGAGAAAAGTAGAGAAAGAAACTGCAGGAGAAAAAAGAACAAGGAACAGAAAACAGCAAGCCAAGGTAGTGAAATGCTGGATAATTGTACCATGGCGTTTCTGTGTTCACAACAGCAGCACAGAGAACGTGTTCTCATAGCCCCTTTTCTAATAATACATCAAGAATACATGCCGCAAGATAGAACAGTAATTTCATTTAAAATGTTTTAGATGACAATTTCACCATGTAACAAAAAAGCTAAAGTTTGTGTGGCTGATATGTCATCCAGCTGGCCACAACAAAGGCCTATTTATAGGGACGAAAAGTACTAGGACTGAAACATGCAAGCAACAAATAAAATTCAACTGAACAGCTACTCTGATTTAATGAAAGCAAGTGTTTTTGTTACAGACCACACAGGTCAGAAATGCAACACGAGCAACAGGGCACTCAGCTTGCTGCAAAGAAAGGCCCAACCTGTGGAAAGAGGGGCAGTTCCCAGGATCCTGCTGTCAGAGCAGCTGCAAAAGGAACGAGGGCTGCTGGGACAAGTTCCATCCAAAAGCACAATGGATGTGTTAGGGACTCTTATCGGACCATCTCAAATCAGATACTGATTATATTTGGAGTGGATTTTAAACAGGGTTTTTTTTTTCAGATTGCATTCAAGAAGTAAAGGTTTCACATACAGGCAGAGAACTTCAAATCTGTTACAGAATTGGAATAGTTTGGAAAAAGTACAGCAGAAATAGCACACAACAGAGGGCTTACAAATTTATGTCAGGCCCAAGACAATCTTCACCTTGCTTAGGGAGATTTACTTTAGCAAACAGTATTACTGATAAAACAATTTTGCCTCTACGATGTATCTATGTATTTTACTACTGGTGCATACACACGCACTCAAGTCAGCTATGGTGATGAAGGTAGCATGTGAATATTTCATGCACATCCAAGCCCACACAGAGTAAACCTACATCAGCTACTACTCAGCACCCTCACCACCTCCAGAATTGTGTTATATGACTTACAATGGCAAGTTGCTGTCTTGCTACGCTAAAGGTAAATAATTATTTCTTCTTCTTTGAACAACTATGCAATATATAAGGTTTTTCATTGTCAGCATCTCCCATTTAATGGCCACTGAAGAAGAGGAATATGAATTGTCTAATTAAACAACATAATTTACTACCTTGGGCAATAGTATAGCATTGTATCAACACAGGACTGCTAGTATTGTATATATGCCCAGTATTAATGGATTTTCATTTTTCAGTAGCTAATTATTAGAGGGAAGGTGAGGAGGAGAAGTTCTCTTACACCAAACTACAAAGTAAAGAACAAATTTTATTTGAATGAAATTCAGACAAAAGTAGAAATTTAAGGCAAGGTTGCTGTGTTTAATTTACACCATTGATGATTACGTCTCCTATCCTTCAGGACAGACAGCTATAGTTCAAAGAGACACCTTGACAGAAACAGAACGTGTGTTTGGAAGTGCAGCACTAAGTATGACTGCCTTGAGCAGATTTTTAATTAACAGATATAGGCTTGTTAAATCTTTTGAAAAATCACTCCGCTGTTGGTGCACACAACTTCAGTACTCTTTTTACGTAGTGGACAGGACTATAGGGCTGGCTACCACATTTACTCTTAGTAACCTCGGTAATCACGTATGACAACATCACCTTCATATGTAGGAAAAGATTTCACAACAGCAGGAACTCAACAGTAACACAACCCCACTAGCACAAAACAGGCTCCCAGTCCCACGCCATGCACACTCTGTGTCCCCTGCACTGAGATCCCTACCTCAGCCTTTCTCCCACATACGGAACGGAAAGCGGAGGGGCCGCTGCCATCTGCTTCCCCTTGCCCCACGCCAGCAGCTGTGCTGAGCTGCTTCTGCCTGCAGGCACGCACTTAGCAGAGCTGGAAGCCTCAGTGCTGACATGCTGCAATGCAGAACAGCTCCTGCCTCTGCTGCGTATCAACTTAAGATGATCAGCATACAACCGGCAGTACGTACCCAAGAGTTTGGAAACATTTGTTTTATAGACAGGGACGATAACATGTTTCAGACCTCTGACATGGGTTCCCCGCATGTGCTCTCACGATGAGCAAAGAAATATTATTTTAAAAAAATAAAACAATAAATCTACTCCTTCACCACACCCGATCCCAAGAAAAACAGAGCATTGATTCTCCATCATCTTTTTTCAATACTCATCATCTGATGCAGTGCTAGTCATGATCCTATCTAGTCCAAGACTACACAGATTTTAGTGAGAGCTTTAAGTGGATGCAAAGTGACCCATCCTTTAGAGTGCAAGCTATTTACAACCACTTCTTTCTGCCTGTTTTTTATCACCCATGAGACCTGACCAGAGCTAGTACGAAAGACAGAAGTATAGCCCTGACAGCATGGTACAGTGCCTCCACTACTCAGAGAGAAATCACATTAGACTGCCTTCATTGCAGATGCAGATGACAAGCAAACTCTATTACACGGCCAAAAGGCAGACAGTTGACAATACAATAAACTTTTATAGTTACAGCAACAAAGGTCATTTCTGCCCTAGCTGTGTCTCTTTTTAGCTTTGTTTTTGTCCTATAAACAGACACTTATCAGCTTCAGTAGCCCAGGAAAAACCTAAACCTATTATTTAATAAATAATATTAATTCTCTACAAAGAAAATATAAACACATTAAAATTCATTTATATTGGAAAACGTGACATAAAAGCCAATTCCATCAGACCACGTAAGTGTGCAATAGCAAAAAAGTTTTCTATACTTTCCCCTTGTTTAATAAAGACATCCCAAATGCAGCAGCTTACCTGATCTTGCAGAGACATAACAGGATTATTTTTGGTTGTATTGATATGTAGAACATGATATTTGTTCTTTGCACAAAGATCATAGGCAATATTTGTGAAGGATGTGCTGGCAGTCTTAGGTACTCTGTTGTAAATAATCACCACATCATCTTCTTCATCCAGTGTCACATCTTGTCGGGGGCCATCTACTGTATGACGTTGTTCTATTTCTCTGACTTCATGTCTTGCAATAGCCCTTTCTGTTAAGGATGACAGATATAAAATCTTGATGTAAATATCACCAATTTTTAAGTTAAAACTATAGAATGCTAATAACCTGGTGAAAAGCAATACCGCCTCAGCAATAAAGGAAACACTGTCATATGTATTTCTGACACATCTGGAGCAAAACTTAATCTATAAAATGAAGAACGACAAAGGTGAGTTAGTCTGACACAGAACACGAAGACTAGAAAACAATATGCTTAGGGAACACACACCATATTCTGTGACTCACACTGATGTTACTGATGTTACTGAAAGCCATCATCTCTAAAGAGAAATGTTTATAGTGTGCTATCAAAATGGTGACATTCCCAAAATATCCCAAATAATTTCTATAAAACTTTTTAAAAAGTACAGTAGAAGGAATAACTCAAGCAATTTGGAGCATAGGAATTTTCTGAAAACTGTGGAAATACAACACTAGAGATTTAGTCAATTAACTGTGCAGTGGCACTGGAATTCAGATAAAACCATTATTTTATTATTTCAATTGATACAAGCCCCAAGTGTAAAGTATTACAATAAAGGGGTTTGCAAAAATTCAATGAGATTTATTCATTTCAGGTTTGACAAGAACAGAAAAAAGAGGTGCTTATGAAACAGTTAACATTAAGGTGAAGAGTAATCTCTGAGTACTGAAATACAACAAATACATCAAAAAGAAAGAAACATGGAAACGCAAGCTATGAACAAGACATTTTGGCAAGGTGACTACATTGCAAATAAACCATTTTTCTTTTATACAAAGGGCAATACTCTGAGTAATTGAACTCTGCTTCAAGTGCTAAAAGCCCATTTGGAAAATAAAACCCACAGTATGACCGCCTTTTTTTTTTTTTTGCAGCTGAACATCAAATACTTTATGCTGATTCAGATACAGCTTTGTTCTGTTCTAGATAAGTATACACTTTAATACGATTTGTAACACAGATGTCAAAGCATCTTTTCTGATTCATTTATTGTGATATTGCCTTTAATAATGTACTCCAAGAAGTCTGCGCTGGCCAACAGTGCAAGTTGAAGTCAGTACCACAAGAGTAACCAGTAATTGTCTTATGTCCTTACACAGGGTATAGCTGTTCTGGATTACACGCTTTTAACAGCAGCAGCTCTTGGTCTTTACTTCCCTTACTTCTTGTAACCCAGCTCCTTCTATTCTTTTTCATCACATCTCTAATTCTAACATAAAATCACTTTTAAAGCAGAATCATTAAGCTGTGAACACCACTAGCCTGTAATTCCACATAAATTGTCTTCAACCACAAGCTTCCATCTGTCTGAAATGCTTCAAAGCTTAAACTCACTCACTCTCTCATATGCTTGTACCTCACACCCCATAACTAAGTTACATCAGTATGAAAATGTTTGTAGAAAATGCTTATTGAGTATATCTCAATTTTCCACATGGCATCTGTTGCTCCCCACTACATCAGTCACAGTTTTTGCTCCTTCCTTTCTCATTTGCTACCTCTCCCATCACCGCTGGCAAACATCCTACTTTGGAAAGAGCTGAGGCGCCAGACTGGGGTTTCATCTATCGGAGGATGGCTACAACAAAGAGGCACTGGCACCTCGCCCCTTCCTGCCAGCAGCAGATTAGAGGCAGCATTTGGTCAGGGATGTAGTTAAGCACACGGCTGCCCAAGGCTACATGGATACTGAATACCACCTAGAGAGGCTGAAATGAAACAAATTTAATTTGTGTCTTCTACACCAGAGTAGTAGATCGCAGCTAGATTTGCGGCGTCACAACCGCACAGAGCTCCCGGCCTGCTTGAGGAGGCCGGCTGGTGCAGAGGGAAGCTTCCCCTTCTGCAGGCCAGAAGTAAACAGTTGTCAGAAACAGTCATGATTTGCAAGAGGAGTGATGAGAAGTGCTCCTCCAATGAGGTATTCGAGACCACGATGATTCAAGAATTAATGTGGTAAGTGCACTTTCAAGGCTATGCATAAGAGATAAAAGATGTACGATTAGACGCAATTAGCAGAAAGGCTATCACACACAATCACCCTCAACTTTGTAGGGCGAGAGGGGAAAGCAAGAACCCACACAAGGAGGAGAACCTTCACAAGTGCGAAGCACACAGACAGCTGCATTATCAAAGAATAAGGAGGCTTTAGATTTCAAATTAAAATGAAAATTAGTCTTTACGATGGAAGAACTGAAATCAGCTTTTTGAAATAACTGCAATAGTTAAAAACCAAAAGCTGAGATGAAGTGCAGGATATAAACTGCTGAAGTGCAAGGGAAGCTAAAGCTAGTGAGAAGCAGATGAAGCACCTGAAAGTCTCTGACCTGGTCAGCTATCCTCATGGCCTATTTCACTGCAGTCTATTAATAACACAACATGGAAAACTGCAAGTTTTGGAAAAGTGCATGTCTCTTCCCATTCATAAACAGTTTGCAGTTTTTCCTGTCAAGTCAGGCAGCTTTTTTGTTACTTTCTGAAAAGTCAGTTTAACTCTTAAAATGGCACGGGATTTGATTCCTATGAAATTTGTTTATTTATTTATTTGTTTGGGGAGGTGGGAAGAGGTCCAGTAATGGTAACATGCAACCGAGAATAGTCTTTGGGTTACTAGTTGATCAGGAGTAAGAGAATTTGAGGACTTAATGGGCATTTAATTAACTACTTCATTTGCACTTCTATAAAATGTAAATAATCGTGGAAGTAAAAGTCCTGTAATGGTTGAAAAATGAACATTGCTTTTATGATTTTAAAAGTACAATAGAAAATGCAACGTATGCTTTAATGACTTTTTACATGTGGAAGATAGGGAAGAAGATGCTAGGTATTTATTGAGTGTACTTTTTTACCAAAAATCTCCTTAGATGACAGCATTCAAATTTAACTTTGATTCTGAGGACTTGTCCACATAAGGTTGGATTGGTTTCACTGAAATCAATTAAAAAAAATAATCAGGTTAGGTAATGTCGTTCCTATCGGAGATCCTGTGGACAAAATGATGTCCTACAATCTCATTGCTTTCATTGCATTCTAGGTAAACTTGATTTTGTAAGAAAAATGTCTAGGGAAAATTATTAAGAGCCAAATGTCTAAACTGGGTTAAGACTGTCCATGCTAAGTTTGACTCTAATTAACTGCATCAATTTAAAGAGATAAGCAGCATTTAAGCAAGTGGTACTCTGAATACAAGACAGATTTACATAGCAATATAACACAGGATAATTTTAAGGCATGAAATATTCTGTCTCACTCTTTTTTTACTGTTTAGGTTCCACAGTAATAAATTATATAATTACTACATAGTTGGGAAAAATGCTGTTCTGTCATCTGCAGTCATCTTATGTGCAAACTTTCATCAACTGCAAGGACAGCTTGCACACAGGCAGTACCATACATGATCAGCGTAATAAAGGTTGCTACATTGGTTATTTACCAGCAGATGAACTACTTGCAGAAAGTCTTCAGCTGGCAGAAGTTTTGCTGTTCTGTAAACAACAGAACAAGATTATTTTCTCACCTATTTGTCTACATGTTCTTTGAAATCTCTTTGATCCCATTTCTGTAACTGCCAGCATCTTCCCGTGACTTACATTTCTTGAGTCATCCTCTCTCGTAGCACTAAACCAGGAAATACCACGGCTAGCAACAAGTTGGTTTGCCAGCTTGATGCTACCAGAAAACGACATATAATGAGCAAGCTATGTCTTCTCCTTCAGCAGAAGAACTAATAACAACATTCAGTCTGTATGTCACCACTGATTATGTAAAAACTCAAAATTATTTATCTTCAAGATCGCTGCCCTTTCAAGTCAAAGCAGTTTGTCAACAAGTTTAAGAGTTATTAACAGGAAAAGTAACAGAGGGAAATGGACAGACCAAGTTTGATTGCTTAGCCCTATTTTGTTAGGATCTCAACTAAAAAAAAATCACCTGTGAAAATGCACCGGACTCATGCATACCTATAAAAATATTTGAAAACCCAGCTGAACAACATCTATGTAATTATAGAAACAAATCACCCAACTGAACAATATTTAAATAATTACAGAAACAAATCACTGATCATAAGCAGTTATTTGTCTCCATTCTTTGCACATTCAAACAGATGAATGTCTTGCATAAAACAAGTTTATTAGAATTTACTTCAAACCCAGGTGTTAACTGCATACAAAATATTACTTTCCCAAACAAACCAGAGTGGCATGGATTTTAACAACTTAAAGGTTAACAGAACCAAACATTTCAAATTCCTCACCTTTTTCACAAAAGCACAAGAACCTCCTGGGATTTCTTAACAAGAAAATGTATCAAAACCAGAAACTCTTCTTTCCCCTATAGCTTAGCACTTAGGACTCCTGAAAGGCTGTCAAAGTCAACTGAGCGCATAGAAGAATAATTTGCAGAACACCGCTCTGCTTCCCCAAACTATGCTCTTTGTCCTCTACATCAAGAGGCCTTTAAACTAGGTTTGAAGAAGGAAGGGGATATAACCAGGCTCACTAGAGATGAGCCCAGGCGTGGCATGCCAGGGTTGGGGGCGAGATCAACAGCGCAGCTCAAGTGCATCTACACCAATGCACGCAGCATTGGCAATAAACAGGAGGAGCTGGAAGCCGTTGTAAAGCAGGACAGCTATGACTTGGTTGCCATCACAGAAACATGGTGGGATGACTCTCATGACAGGAGTGCTGCGATGGATGGCTAGAAGCTCTGCAGAAGGGATTGGCGAGGAAAGAGAGGTGGTTGGGTTGCTCTGTATGTTAGGGACTGCTTCGACTGTATAGGGCTCAACGATTGTGATGACAAGGTCGAATGCTTATGGGTAAAGATGAGGGGGAAAGCCAACAAGGCAGACCTCCTGCTGGGGGTCTGTTATAGACCACCCAACCAGGATGAAGAGGCAGATGAAGCTTTCTGCAAGAGGCTGGCAGAAGTCTCACAATCGTTAGCCCTTGTTCTTGTGGGGGGACTTTAGCTTACTGGACATTTGCCGGAAATACAACACA